ACCTATTTGTGAAACGGGTCTTCTTTAAACTTACGGAATTGCACAAAGAAGAAGTCGATGAAGTTGAGAATGATAGCAACCACAGCCTATTTTGTATGGGATTTTGAACTCTAGAAGCCATTTTTCTGTATTATTCCACTTTCTGCCGAAGCTTTTATCTATAGCTACTAGTTATTGAAAAAGACTGAACAGATACATGTTGTTGAGTGAATTTTTTAATTAAGCAGGGACGTGCGGTAGTCACCAATTCGCCACCTCAAAACTCGAACGTTGTGAAGAAGGCTCGTAGCCGGAGGTTTTGGGAGGATAAAGGCAAGTTTGAGGCTTTAAGCAGTCTCGGGGGGAAGAAACAGGGGAACAGGAGGAGCAATAATTTTATGTGCTCAAGACTAGGATAAGGTGATATGGCGCCAGAAAGGGCATGCGACGAGTCTTGTAGTATTCCAGATTGCATTTTCACTTCGTATAGCTGGATTACTACTTTGTTCTGAAACAGATAAGAGCCTTCATATTTTTTTACTGTTGAATACAGTGAAGGGAAAAAATGCAATCGATTCTTTCGTCAATTTGATTGCCTTTTTCTTTCTTTGTTTTCACTTGTCCGGTTCTTGAACAAACAAAAGCACGGAGAAGTCGAACGTATTCACTCCGAGTCTGATTCGTTGCATTCTGTACAGCATCACTTTCATGGGGTTCTCAAGAACTTTCATCCGCGGAGAAATGACCAAGTAGAACAAAAGCTCCTTGGTCGGATGTTCAGGACCATCTCTTGCAATCCAAAAATTTGCTAGAAAAGGAATTTAAAGATCTAACTCCAAAATTAGCTGAATTTTGAGCTGGACCAACCCTTTGTGTCTACCAGTACAGAGTGCAGATTGCAGAGAATCACTACAGAGTTTTGACTTCTTTGTATCCAGTTCTACAATTAACCATGCCCGAAATTTAGTTGCTCTTGAAAAGTTGAAATCTTCCTTAATGAAGCCTAGTGCAGTAGAATCTTAATGCAGTGAAACATTCACAAGAAAATTGTTCTACTCCGTACGTGCCTGCAAGAATTTTTTTTTTTTTTTTTATTTCAAGATCGAAAGGCACACATAAAATATCCAAATGGTTCCGGGACCAAGTTAACACAGCTAATGATAATTTCTCCTGCACGTATTGATTAAAACTGGTTGCACTCCAATAGCTCTCATGCTTGAATGAGCCATTCGATCACACACTGCAGCTCATGATGCATATTTTCACGGCATGCATGCAGTCTAGATGGTAGTAAGTTTAAGTACTTCCATTTATGATTTCAGATAAGGCAAAATGGCATCACATTACCAATTTGCTTCTGCTGTTATGCGTGCAAGACACAGTTCTAACTAGGGGTGCAAACGAGCCGAGTCGAGTCGAGCTTTGGCCTTATCGAGTCGAGCCTTAACTTAATTTCATCGAACTCGAACTCGAGCTCGAGCTCGACGAGCTGGTAATTTTCAAGCTCGAGCTCGAAAAAAATAAAAAATAATTATTTTATTTTTAAAAAAATAAATAAAATAATATTTTTTCTTAATAAATAATAAAATATTAAGGATATTTATGTAATTTTACTATTAAAAATAAAAATAAAAAAAATAAATATATATATACTCGAGCGAGCCGAGCTGAATGTTTTGAGCTCGAGCTCGACTCTGGCTCGAGCAGCTCGAGCTCGACTCGAGCTCGAATCGAGCCGCTAGCGAGCGGCTCGATTCGTTTGCACCCCTAGTTCTAACTATTCAGAACTAATCTCGGACATGGGAACTGTTTTGCACATCCACATCTGTCACCTTCATAACAGAATCTCAATGCAGTGAAAGATTTCAAAGGTCATGTCTGAATAAACTGAACCAATAAAACCACAAAATCCCGAACTTTGCAGTATCAGTTTATAGAAACTCAAGCTAGTTTTGCACCCAGATAGGTTAAGAGAACATTTATGCAACCAGAGCCATCATTTTTTGATACTAGTGCTCAACAAATCCGGAAAAGAAAATTACAGAGATGAAACCCTTTCCAACACTGTAAAGAGTCTCCACTTATCAGGAAATCATGCGTAAAGAAATTCACCTGCAAATGTAAATGAAACAAAGTCAGTAGAATGAAAAAGATACAAATATTTAGTCCTGTCTAGACTGTACTTTAGTACATAAAAACTTAAAAGAAGAAAAAATCTGTTCACCAGCTCATAACTTAAATGTGAGATAACAATTATTAACCAGAATGAATACAGGAGGTGACGCTGACGATCAGGAAATGGTTTTTAGCTAACCAGAACACAAGAAGGATTAATCTTTTACTTGTAGATTATTTTACATCAAGGGGAACTTCTAGGTGAATTCATATATTTAGCCAAATCAGAATACAATAGCCAAATAATCAGGACATCAAAGCCGTAAATGCAATTAAAGTTGAAGATTTATTAGAAACAAAAGCCATACATTGTAAAAATAGCTAGTGAACTTATGATGTGCGACGAAAATAGGTAGGGTAGCGACATCTCAAGTTGTAATCTAAAATATCACAATTACATGAAAAACGCTGATAATAAGCATAATTGCACATTAACGAGACAGACTGAATCATCTACCGCAGCAAGCTTCTGCATAGTTAGCATTTGACCTGTCATATATTTAGCTGGGAAAATGTAAATTTCAGAGTACCTTTGGAGCTGCTATTTCATACTAGTTTTAACTTGTTGAAACTTTGCACACAAAATGCACTTTCCCTTATACATAACTTTCCCAGGATAGTAGTTTACTTCTTTAGTCATAAATAACTAAAGCAAACATAATCATGCCCGCAAGTGGATTTATACTTTCAGACGAAATTCCAGTTGCCACAAAGACGTTGCTCCTCGTGCAAGGCACAACTCAGGAACTTTTAACTGAGCAACTTCTCGAATGTACTCTCAACAATGCCTCAATTAGAGTCAGTTCAAGTACTATATTATATAAATAATCATGCATGAGGGCAAGAAACAACTCAAATTATTTCATTCATTGTAGATACCACTGTCATTATTAGTCTAACAAAACTGAGTAAAGAGCTTGGCAATGGCGGAATTTATGAACTCATGGGGCATCTTATACTTAGGTCAAATGCTAACTCATAGTCAACGATGTCCGTCATATCATCAACAGTTTGGATTATTCGAATAATGCCACAAAAGTATACAATATGTGCATCACCCTGGAAAAATAATGATATGGTACTACCAACAACCATACACCAAGAAATATCGGGTTTGTGAATGTAATCCGCAGACAATTTTGACTTCCACTTGCAAATAATGGGCAAATTGAAAACTAGGGGAGGGCAAGTGTGTGAATGTTGAGATTTGAGAACCAAACAATCAACCTAATGTTGCTTCAGTCAGTTACAATTAAAACAACGGCGCAATTAAGGACTCAAACTTTTCTCCAAACGAACGAAGAACTTAGAAAATAAACCAAACAATGTAAGAATCAAGAGCCACGATTAAAATAGTAACGAACAAAGAGAGTTAGTGGATTGGATCTAAAATCTGGAAAAGCTTTGCTAGGGCTAGTGTAATAGAACAGATAACGGACTTACTATTTTCTAATCAGTGTTTCTTGTGCCTCTGCACAAACGGAGAGTTCTTGGCGTCCTCCTCTGCCAGATCAATCAATCATCCCACCAAGATAATTAAAAAGTAAAAGTCAGGCACAAAAATTATGAAGATAATAGAAAATGAATAACAAATACAAAATAAATACAGGAAAACAGCAAGAGGGTAAAGGCCGGCGGGCTGACCGGTGAGGCTGAGGGACATCTTAGTAATGATGGTGCCAGTGACAGCGAAGCCGACGAGGAAAGGCCAGCACCGATTCCATTCTCTCCTGAAAAACACCGGCCACGGATCAAATTTCCTCATTTCTCTCTCACTTCTCGATGGAATTGGGATACACTCGAGCGGTCAGCTGAAAACTGGTAATGAGACTCCTGCGAGTTGAGACGTGAGATAAAAAGACCCACAAGTAGTCAGTGAAAGGGCTCAATTTAGCTTCTGAATTGGGCTGGGCCTCTAATCGATTTTAACAAGGTCATGTTTGACGGAGACTGGGCCACATACCATTTGCGTATACTTTATAATAGCTACCATGAATCAAGAATATTCTTTTCAAAATCCCATGAAATTTATTGCTAGTAGAATTTGTCTAGAGGTTTTTCAAAAAAAAAAAAAAAAATTTCGTCTAGAGGGTAATGGACCTCAAAATTATTTTGGATATGAGATTATTTGAAATAATATTTTAAAGAAAAACTCTGTAACATCTTTTTTTGATGTGATGTGTATGATATAAAAAGGTAGTTTAAAAGATTAAAAAAATTATAAAAAAAATGTTTGTGATGTAATTAAAATTTTTTTGGCAAATAAACCTCTATCCAAACATACCATGTTTCCTTCCATTTTCAATCAAAATCTAGGTTTTATAGCAAGTAATGTTGCATGTAACCCTAACAAGATTCTTGGCTATATATAAAAAAATCTAAATAATTGTGGATAATGGGCTGACATGCAATACAACTTATGCATGCACTACATCTCTTACCTTAAAATCTTCAAACCTTAATTTATTTGATTGTTTTGCGACTAGGTTGAAGTAACGAATACTTTTGGACTTATCTCTTGTAGCATATAAGTAATTAGGAACATTAGCTTGGAATTATTTGTCTAAGTAATTAGGAACATTAGGAACATCTAAGTAATTTATTTGTTCATTTTTGTGTGGAACTAACAAAATTTCAACACAACTATTGTCTTGATGCTTAATTATTTTACAATTACATTTTTCAACATTTAAGGGCCAAATCAATGAATTGCAACATGTACGTGTGTACATTTGCACTTCCAAAATACGCCCAGCACAGCCTCCGCAGGTTTCTTCGGAAATGTTTTCAAAAATGTTTTCGACGTTTAGGGGCTTGGAGCAACTAGGGGGCTGCACCAGTGTAGCAAATGGCCAGGCGTGGAATGGGATAAAGGGCAAAAAGATTAGCTAATCGTAAAACAAAAATGCTTCCACGTCAAGGATCAGCCTTGGAGCAAATTCGAGGTCCCGCCATCCATCAGACGTAAATCGTACGACTCGCTACTCGGCCAGGTCATGGGTCCAGATTGAACCAAAGAAATAGCGAAATATCCACCGTCGATTTTCGCCTGATCCATAAAAAATCAAATAGTAAATGGAAATTCACAACTAACCGCCCAATTGCCCAAAACCAAAAATTAAAACAGCCGCCAGAATTTCAAGCCCCGCTTTCACCTTCAGATCCCTTTATATAAACAAACCCAGTCTACTCGCCCAATTGCCACAATCAACAGAAGTTGGGTAACTTCCAAGTCACACAAATATTTGTGGAGAAAATGTCAGGCCGTGGAAAGGGAGGCAAGGGATTGGGCAAGGGAGGAGCAAAGCGCCACCGTAAGGTGCTCCGAGATAACATTCAGGGCATCACGAAGCCGGCAATTCGGAGGCTGGCTAGAAGGGGTGGAGTGAAGAGAATCAGTGGGCTGATCTACGAGGAGACCAGAGGGGTTCTTAAGATCTTCTTGGAGAATGTGATTCGCGACGCCGTCACTTACACAGAGCACGCTAGGAGGAAGACCGTCACCGCCATGGATGTAGTTTACGCTTTGAAGAGGCAGGGCAGGACTCTCTATGGCTTCGGTGGTTGAATTTTAGGTGGATTGGCCCGCCCCTTTGTCTTTCCTTCTTTTTTCCTTTTTTTTTTTTTTTTTTTAGTTTTCAATGGGTTTTTACTTTGATCTGGTTGGGTTTGATCAATGTAATTGAATCAAGTTTCAATTTTATGAGAAATTTAGTAAAATTTCAGTTAGTATTTCACATTGGACAAATCTTTTCTTTCGCTCTTTTATTTAGTATTAGTTTTCCTTTAAAAAAAAAAAAAGTCCATCTTCGGACCAACTTCAAAGCCCTTTTGTGTTCAACTAACACAATGACCACCACATAAAGGTATAAAAACCATCTTGAGTCTCAAACATAAGGAGGCCAGTCTGACCACTCACATTTTCACTAATTTGTATATTATGACGCAAATTTTGAATGTAGCTCATTCTCTACAGCTTAAAGCGCGAAAGGGATGAGGAGGAATAATAAGGGGAGAGAGTAGGAAATTTCCAGCATGACATGGACGTATCAAGTATTTGAACAAGTTTTAGTTCAATTCTTCCGGGAGATCTCAAGCCTCTTTCGGAAATCATCCTCCATGAGGGGAAGGCCTTCTCGTAATTTGACCTTTGGCTCCCAGCCTAACAGCTCCTTGGCTTTTGTGATGTCCGGTTTTCGCTGACGAGGATCATCAGGGGTGTTCTCAACAGTGATGATCTCCACTTCGGGATTGATAAGCTGCAAAAGCACGACAATAATTAGATTTACTAAGCTATCCCAGTTAGTTCATTATGAACTTCAAAAATGTACAGAAGTGACTTTGAGATTTTATTTTTTCCTCTTATTCGAGCACGAGTCAAGATGCTACCTCCTTCACAGTCTCCGCAAGTTCGATCATAGTAAATTCACCTATTTGAAAACATTCGGCAACACGAGAAAAAGAGAAAGATGGAGTTAATAGAAATGAGAAAGCAAGGACAGGGGAAATATTAAATTAAAGTTAGAGCAAATCACCTGGATTGCCAATGTTAACAGGACCAGTGTGCTCTCCCTCCATAAGACGAATCAGACCATCAACCTTCACGATTTGAATTTATGGATTAGGCATCAAGGCAAAGTCAGACATGATAAGTGTGCAGTTCAATAAGGATGCATACCATGTCAGAGACGTAACAAAAACTTCGCGTTTGTGTACCAGGCAACTGGACTGTCAACGGTTCATCGCTGTGCATGTGGAGGAAGAACAGGTAGTGGCATTTGTGAGTAAATTTAGCAGAAATCTCAAAGTTACGCGACTATCATCTTGCAGATGGCAAACATTAAAGCACTCTTCCATTAACATTGTGGACAATCAACATGGTAGAAAATGTTTTTGCAGTAAGACTTGCAAAGGTAACTTGAGAGCTAGGAGCTAAGGACTAAAGTAACATACCGAATTGCTTGAGCTATGAAATTGCTGACTACCCTACCATCATCAATATTCATACGAGGTCCATAAGTATTGAAGATCCTAGCAATCCGTATCTCTGCCACATAGTTACAGTTCCACATCAATTACAAATCCATTACATTAGCAACATTTCAATAGCAGTTAAACAATGCATTACGTTGGAAAAGAAATTAACTACATGTTGAAAGTTTTCCATGAGCAAGTGGATCTAGAGTGAGCGGAGAACTTACCAATTCCATGCTGTCTATGGTAATCAAACATTAAAGTCTCAGCAACCCTTTTCCCCTCGTCATAACAGCTCCTAACTCCTGCAGTTAACATAGAGGCAATAAGTACGTGCTTTTCTTTGCATGATCACATTCAAATAAAACCAGAGGCATGTTCTTCGCATGTTTGATGAAACTCAGGCTACAGTTCCATAGATAAAGCAGACAATAACTGTCTTTAGTCTGAACTTCCAAGGAAAAACCAAGCGATGCAGAAAACCAGTTCTAAGCTAGGGAGTTTAATATTTAGCTATTTCAAGAAATTCTGGCGTGAAATATGAATCACTGTTCTACAACATCTATAATTTTACACACTTCGAGCCAGAAAAATCAGTTAGCAATAACTGTAGCAATTACAAGAAAAAAAGTCATAATTAAGCACTCGCTCATTGGTTGCAGTCATGAGCACTGGCAACATACAAGAAATCAAATTTTCCTCGAGTATCAATCATTTAGTGGGTTAGCAAATTCATCATCAAGAACTAAAAGATAGGTTGATCAGTATACCAATTGGATTAACATTTCCCCAGTAGCTCTCAGTTTGAGGATGCACTAGAGGATCTCCATAAACCTCAGAAGTTGATGTCAGCAAAATCCTGTGGCAAAAGCAAATATAATGAAATGTGGTTCTACTCAACAAATATAGAGAGAGGGGAACTTGAAAAGTACCTTGCCCCAACACGCTTAGCAAGTCCCAACATGTTAAGCGTCCCAATCACATTAGTCTTGATCGTCTACCATGACAAGAAAAAGTGAGAACCAGAAGAAGTTAACAATGATGAAGTCACAGCTGTAAAAAGTCTATACGTGAAAACAAGTTTGACAAGATTAAGCCATAAAGAACAATAAGGAGGAGGAAGGAGAACTCCCTCAAAGTTCAAGAATTAGTTGAGTAGCAGACATACAGGCCACAAAATAAAAATGTTGACGGAGAATATCCTGGTTACAAACCTTCACAGGATTGTACTTGTAAAAGATAGGGGATGCAGGACAAGCAAGATGGTATATTTGATCAACCTCAACTAACAATGGTTCTGTTACATCTGCAAATCATAAAAATAAAACAATTAACATTCCTTACCTGAAATGCCATCTAAAGAATCTTCAACTCAATGAAATATATTTAAATCCAAACACAAAATGGAAACAGGATATAACATGTGACAGACTTTAAAACCAAGAAGAAAACGATTAGCATCTCCATATTAAACGAGCAACTGAAGAGGAAGAACACCTAAATCAGAAACCCTGGTTCCAGAGTTTGCAATGGTTGAGGAGATGTGATCCATGGTTGTTTAAAGTAGTATTCAGAGTCTCCACAAACATCAGATGAGAAACATTATTTATCACTCTCATTTTTGATATTGTTGAAATCACTGAAAGCATAATAATTCAAGAAAATCTGGTGCCTAATATATTAGTTTCTCATACTAAGGATATTATAACTATTAAGACAATAGCATACCATGACGAATAAGCTCAAATCTTGGATGTCCAATCCATTGCTTTAAGTTGTCTTTTGACCCAGTAAAGTAGTTATCCACGACAATCACCTAGTGAAAATCACAGTAAATTCTAGTATAAAGACCAAAAAGAACAAATATCCAATGCCTACAGCCCATTACGTAGCCATATCCTAATACTAACTGCTGCAAAAAACAGCATGAGCTAAGAATTTCACCTCGTTTTTCTCATTCTGCATTAATCTGTCAACCAGGTGAGAGCCTATGAATCCAGCGCCACCAGTTACCAAAATTCTCATATTTGCCTGATCAGGATAAAAACGATTTCCGTATGACAGCCAAGAATTAACGGAGGGCAAAAGAGAAAGAAATCTGGAGTAACCATCAGACAAAAGAATTGGATTCAAGTGCACATGAACGTGCATCCAACCACAGGAACAAAATTAATAAACAGTCAAAATGTTTTTAAAACTTTCAAATTTCTACTCTATCTTATAATGGTTTTCTGTTTGTTCTATGCTTGTGCCCCTCCTAAAACTCCATTATTATCTATTTAGAAAAAAAATCCACGATGAAGGGGGTTTACGCATATTTTTACCTGAAAAAATTTGGCATTTCTCAGAGGCGAGGGCTCCGGGGGTGGTTTTGTGGTCACATGGTTCTCTCCGTTTGAAACTTCCTTGGCCATTTGTCTCACTTCTCTACTTTCTGAACCAAATCCAACAAAACCCAAAAATGGCCATTTAATTCAAGTCAATCCCAATAAAACATAGTAATTCTGGTAAAGTTTGCATCCTGATACCAATTCAAACAATGATCTAAAAACAATAATAACGACGAAAAGAAAAACAAAGGAAGATTTAATTGCAATCCCCAACTCATTCCCACGGAGAGAAATTTGAAGCTTTGATCACCTGATACAATTCTCAAGAATGTAGTTGTATTAACAAAATGCAGCAATCGGCAAAACTTGAGCTTTGTGCTTATATAACCGAAAAACTTTAATGCTCGACAGCAAAATTCAGACAAACAACAGACATGAAAAGCATGCATTAATAATTGGCTCCACACCAAACTGTACCAACCTTTGAGAGAGACAGAAAGATTGAAAAATCTTCAAGATCACGGCAACGAGAAAAGAAAAAAAAAAAAAAAACCAGATTTAAATGAGTGTGTGGAGAGCGTGATGGAAGCTTGAAATAAACGAAAGTGTAGTCCCACACCTGACGATTTCAGATCTAAATCTAAACAAATCAAGTGTCCCAAACATGTCAAAATGTTTAACAATCATGTTGATTGCATAAGATCATTAAGAATATATTGAATACAAATTAAAGAACAAAAAGGGTTAAACCCACCACGTTTTGCAGTTTACCTCTGTTGCGTCTGAATCAGATGAATTCTGAGGTTTTAAAACGTAGTCCTACGTTGATGTCTCCACGCTTATATACACCGCTTGCGACACTGCTGCGGTGGGGGGGGGTCCCGTAGAGCAAGAAAGAGTGCAGTAGTTTCCTGTGTTCGGCCAGTTAGGCGATTTCTTCTTCGTAAGCCGTCTAATTAGTCAAGGTGGGCCACATCTTCATACTATCGGAGCGGTGTATAAATTTCTTTTTTTTTTTTTATTACTTTGCAGGGATAATTTCAGAAACTTCTTATGAAGTTTTTAACCATTCCACTGGCCTCCCTTTAAATTTTGAACATTACATTAATCACCCTTAAGATTTATTCTCTTGTAATATCTAGATTCAACCAACAATTAAAAAGTAATAATGTTAGCAGAGAAAAGATAATAATATGATCTCACTATTGCTCCTTATCTACTAATTGTTTAATTAATTTAATACCAACCCAATTATTAAAGAAAGCACTAGAATTTGCTATTTACTATTAGAAATTAAATCACAAATGATATCAAAAATAATATATTATTCAATATATTTCACTTAATATAAGATCTAAATTACTCTTTTCACCTACAAATCTATTGTCAAACATAATTAATAACAAATAATTGAAAATTTTGTAATCAAACTATTACAACGAGCAAATTTAACATAAAAAACTTAACAACTAACCTGAATATATTGATAAGAATATTTATGATGTTAAAGTTTGTTCTCTGTAATATTGGTTGCAAATTTTTTGATCATTTGTTGTTGGTCATATTTGGCAGTAAGTATGAAAAGAATAATTTGAATCTTGTATTACGTAAAAAATATAAAATAATATACTAATTTTAATGCTATATATGATTTGATCCCTATTGATAAACAACAAATTTTAGTATTTTTCTTTAATATGTAGATTGATATTATTTTTTTTGTCAAATATGTAGATTGATATTAAATTAATTAAATAATATAGTAGATGAGGGGCAATGTTAAAATCATATTATTTTCTCTCTTCTAATATCATTTCGTAAGTATTGGTTGGAGTTAAATATTACAAGATAATTAATTTCAATAAAGTTAGTGTAATTTTTGAAACTTATGAAAGGCAAGTGAAATAGTTAGAAACCTCGTGGGTGATTTCTAAAATTATCAACTACTTTGTATTGCAGGAGCTGATGCAAGCGGTGACCTGCCACGTAGGCTGTAGTTAATTTGATGCATTAGCAAAATTAATTTGGGTGATTATGGGTTTTAGACATTTTTGGTTGCTCGGGCGATTGGATTTATTGCCAGTTAGGCAAGCCTGTAATTGCAGTGACGTAGTGTGCACTACCTATCGGACAGCAGCTGTCCTCGTCTTTGGTGATTTCATTCTTATCAGCTGTGTCACTTACACGCAAGTTATATACCAAATTGTAACTTTCTGCCCTTTTTAGGCTGAAAACGTACGAATAGGATCTTATTTGATGAGGAAATTTCTATCAACTTAATGAAATATCTGAGAGAATATATATGCATGTATTAAGGATAAGCGCCAAAGGAAAGTCTTCATGATGTTTGTTAACACACTACAAAAGTTTAATAGCTATTAACCAGTACGGATCTCGTATTATTAGGGAACGAATGAATTGAATGATAAAATATGAGAAATTATACGCATGATATTTTAGATTCAAGATTTGATGATAATTGTGGCAGAATATACAGACACAAAGATTAATTTTCAGTAGCTTTGCTAGCGATTCTAAATTGGAAAAGGATAAGAGACTGATTTTATTAGCACTGAATATCATCAATTTACTTTTAGTGTCGTCATTAGACAATCTAGGTCTTGTTTCAAGTGTAGGTAGAAAAAATTGATTGCTTATTTCGTGTTAGTTAATTTAGCAAACGAAATTATACAAAGTGGCTGTAGTTTAGTGGTAAGAATTCCACGTTGTGGCCGTGGAGACCTGGGCTCGAATCCCAGCAGCCACAGATCCATTTTCTTATTTTTCTGCGGTGCATTTTTCTAAACCCCCAAACTACCCTCATTCATCAGCCGCAGTTCCGGAAGTACCCCTCTATAAATTAGCAATAAACCCTGGGCCCTCATTCACTAACGTTTGCGGTTTGCTCTCTTCATTTGCGACGCGAGCGTGATTGGGTTAGGAGGACGAAAGACGTCGACGTCCGCCGTTAACCGGAAACTCTTGGCCTTTTGTTTATTTTTATCATCGGAAAAAGGTACGATCACCAGCGATCTGTCCTTCCTTCTATTTGTATGAATATCTCGTGCATGCGTCCAATATTTCTAAATTTTTTCCCTCACGTAACAAATAAATTACTGGACTCTCTCATATTTTTGAAAGCAGTGAGAGTGGAGACAACAAAAGGTTTTGGTTGTATTTGCATTCATTAGCTTCATTTTGGAACCATTTATGACATTCGTAACTGTCTTAGATCAGATGATGATAGATGGGGTGAAAACTGAAAACCGGGCTAAAAGTTCAGATCTCAATTGTCACTTTCTTTCGTACGTATGCTGTTTTCTTCTGAATTGAACCAAGAATTCCAATGCAAAATTAGAAAGGGATCGCATAGCGGAGTGGATATCGCGTTAGACTCCGGATCTAAAGGTCGTGGGTTCGAATCCCACTGCGATCGCCTTCTGCTTTCCGTCTTCTTCTTTTTTTTTTCCCCCCGGTTCTTGTCCATCTTTTCTCCCTTTTGAATTTGGCTATTCTAGTTGTTCCTGTTTAACTATCAGGAATTCTCTCTTTTTTTTGGGGGGGGGGGGGAATGACTTTGGCCAATAGCTGTGTAATATGTTTGTGAATTTGCTAATTGCTACTCTTTTTTTTGACCCTCGTTATGGTGCAGTTGTTTACCTGAGTCACAAGAATAGCGTCAAAGCTCGTACCCTCAGAGAATTGAGCTGATTCAGCTGCAAGTTCTTGGATAAAATGAAAATTCAGAAAGATGTGTGTCAAAGCTGGCTCCTTGTGTCTATTAGCTGGGATAAAGTTAATCAAGAATAGTTTATGCATCCATTTTTCAGGAAAGAAAAAAAAAGGAAGAAACATGTGTATGATGGATTATCTTACTATTTCTTTTGACGTTATTATGACAATTACTGAAGGTAAGGATGTTGTAGGAATCTTTGAGGTGGGTTCTTGATTTTGATGCGTGATTCATATATAATGAGCTAGGGATACATTATTGAGGACAGTTGCCATAATTCTTCGATCAGATATTTACTTCCTATGTGAAGAGTACGATGAGTCAAGGGTGGCATTCTTGATGGTTGCCTGTTTTGTTTTGATACCGTGGCGTTGTGAAAATAATATTGACTTTCTTTAATAATTGTTATTTAGAGTCTCCAATCAACGAAGATTGTAAGAATCTTGTGAAAGAAATACCCAGTTTTGTTGTGGAATAGATTAAAAATGAGATGGGTGCATTGACACTATAGGGCGTCTATTATCGATGTCACTTCATTGTGCTGTGCTCTTGTCATAGGGGTTTAACAAAATGATGAATGAATTGGTACTACGAAAAGGCAGTTGACTTATTTTTTTTCCTGCCGGGGGGGTGGGGGGGTGGAGGATCTTGTCTTTTGAGGGAATTGAGGTTGCCATTTTGAAAAACAGAGGATTGTAAAAAGCTGGGAACATCAGGAAGATGCATAAAATAATGTGAGATTTAGGTTTTGAACTGGAAATTGACCCAACTCAGCTGGTTTTACATCAATGGTTGAGTTATCTGAATAGGTATCGGTGTGTCAAGTCTGACGTCTGGATATAAATGAAAGACAGTGTTATCCACGTCTCATCCTTTTGCAAACTCAGAAAGTATACTTCAACTCTCTGGATAAAGACTTTTATCTCATCCAGTATTTGCACTTTATGCTTCCCTTTCGCATACCTGTTATTTTTGTCCAAGTCGTTTGGCTCTTGCAAATACACAGTTATCGCAGGTACCACTCTCTCCTAATTGGATATGGGTGTTTTGTGTTATATGATGACATATGTGCTTGATCTTTTGTAAGTTAGATGTCAGGAAAACAAAAATGAACAAGTTGCACTGGCTTTTAATAAAATGTTGTAGATTGATTTTTTTTTATTATTATTACACGTGTGTTTCATGAAGTCGTTTTTCTTTGGTGATGCAGAAAATGGTTATCCCTCCTGCAGTTCGGCCAGAAAGAGTTACCAATTTTCTCAAGCCTCATGTCCTGAAGATGCACTTCACGAATAAGTTTGTGTCTGCTCAAGTAATCCACACACCAACAGCAACTGTAGCATCCTCTGCCAGCTCACAAGAGCAGGCACTGCGGTTAAGCATGGAAAAAGCCAAAGAAAGTACAAGGGATGTTGCAGCTGCTGGCAAAATAGGCAAGATATTGGGCGAGCGACTGCTTCTCAAGGGTATTCCGGCTGTTTCAATTTTCTTGAAGAGAGAACAGAAGCATCATGGCAAATTTAAAGCAGTAATTGATTCCGTGAGGGAAGCAGGTGTCAAATTAGTTTAAGTTTAAGAATCAACTCCATTCAAGAATAGCAGGCATGCATTTTTCTGAATCCCTCTTTCTTTAACTGGAGGGTCTTTGCTATTGTGACAAGGATTAGAAGAATCAGGGTTACATTATTATTATTTTACGTGGCTAAATCTTATTTCTTGATAATCCATAGTCTGTGTTTGGGAAATGTACCTGCTAAACTTGACATTTGAGATGAGAATTATTGCAAGTACGGATAGGTTCTGTCTGAATTAGCCTACAAGGAGAATGGTGTACTCAAGAATAACAAAGTAGTCGTTTTCGTAGCCCGTGTGGAGTAAAGGGGGCAGTTGAGGCGTAGTTCTTTGAATTCATGAGTAGTGAATAATGTCCAGACGGGGAGAAATTTCTAAGTTTGTGATGAAATTTAAAAAAATTCTACAAAAGGGGTGATTTTGGTGAGGTATTCCGTAGGGGGGTCTTCGCATTCCACGAATGTGAGCTCACCAAAGCTCGAGCTCAGCAGAATTTTTTGTAATTTTTTTTTCGGAGGGCAATAGAGCTCGCATTCCGCGAATGCGAGCTCGGAATGCGAGCTCAATAAGTTGAGCTCGCATTTGCGGAATGCAAGCTCTCCCAAATTTAAGCTTTGGGAATTTAATCTCTCCCAAATGACACCTGCACTGGCTCATGGAGATCTTTACATGTTGCAGCCACTGCCTGCAGTCCTTCATCGCATATCGAGTCAAGCACCTGCATAAATCAAGGGTAAGGAAAACCAAAAGATTGACAGAATCAACATTCAAACGGAAATTCCATTTACTTACCCACAAAGTCTGGAGCTTATGGCAATGATAGATAAAGGATTTCAGTTGTTCAGTACTGATTGTGGCGTAGCTAAGATTCAGAGAGGTAAGGTTAGCACACACTGGAACTATTGCAGGCAGATAATGAGCATTGATTTCTCTGAATCCAGAAAGGCAAACTAGAGATTTGCATGCAGCAAAAGCAGAAACGTAGTCTGGCTCCTGTTTACCCTGAGCAACAATCCCTCCGGGGCCAAATGAACCAGTTCCCAAGTGGGTGAGCTGTGGAGCTCGAACCATCAAACGATAGAGCTGCACAATTGTTACATGTCGATTCAATCTAAGCATCTTCAAAGACGGTGACTTAACCACAAGTCTCTCCAATGCCTCAAAATTAATAGGGGAGTCCACACAGTCAAATATCAAAGACTCGAGACAAGTTCCATTCTGTGGAAAACATGAAATCCAATCCACTTCATCTTCTATCAACTCTGACTCAATCAAATCGAGCACTCTAATCTTCCTGAGATCACGTAAAAACAACTCACATTACACAAAAGAAGATCACATTAAATGCGAGCTCACTGACCTCACATTCCTAAAATGCGAGCTCAGTGATCTCGCATTCCCGGAATGCGAACACCCTATTTGTAGAACCCTCTCCAAGAAACACCCTCGTTGTAGAATTTCTTTTTTTTTTCATCATAAACTAAGAATTCACCCCCAGGGTAAGAAAGGTCCCCATATTCCGTTGTGCTCTTTTATCTTTGGCTGAACGTATCAAAGACCTTAAAGTTCTTATAAAGCACAGCTCAACAGCGTGGACCAAAGCAACTAGCTGTATTGCAAGCGGGGACCAAAGCAATTTTACAATGACTGCATAATCATAGATAATATTTACATTTATAAAGAAAAAGTATATAATTTTTACAGAACATTTGTGTTGTTACGAGTACAATATAGGTTATAAATTGCGTACAGTATAGAGTATATTTTTATATGAAATTATGGAAAAATGGTCAATTTAGTTCATAAACTTATTTTTTACTGTCAATTTAGTTCTCACTTAATTTTTTTGGTCAATTTAATCCATATACTTATTTATCGTCGAAATACCCTTATTTAAGTGCTCAATTAAAAGTTTGATTAAAATTATAAGGTGGCGGCCACCTTATAATTTTAATCAAACTTTTAATTGAGCACTTAAACAAGAGTATTTCGAGTACTTCACCAATCACCTTATAATTTTAATCAAACTTTTAATTGAGCACTTAAACAAGGGTATTTTGAATACTTCACCGGTGAGGTAACAAGATAAGAAGTAAAATAGAAGGGAAAATTTACCAACACATTTTTATAGTGAGAAAACCCACTGAACTTCATTAACCTACTAACATAACAAATCAAAGAGATTTAATCAAGGGGTGGTGATCAGGGGGTTCTATACAAGGCGGCAGTAATGGTGGTGGACGGGTTCTATACAAGGTGGTGGTGAAGGTGAATGAGGTGGAGGCGGGGAGTGTACAACTAGCGGTGGAGGTGGCGAGTGTACAAGTGGTGGGGGGGCGGCGGCGATGAGTAAATGTACACTGGTGGTGGAAGTGGGGGTGAGTTTGGTGGCGGAGATGGTGGTGAATTATAATATTAGAGGATAGGTAGTGGAGAGAATAAAGGAGGTGGTGGAGAATTTGGTGGTAAAGGTGGCGGTGAGCACACACAGTTTGGCGGAGTCGGCGAAGGAGATGGAGGGAAAGGTAGAGGTGATGAGATAGCTGGAGGAGGAGGTGGAGATGGCGGTGGAAGAGATGGAGGAGGAGGAGAAAGTGGAGGGGGTGAGGGAGGAGGAAGTGGCAGAGAATAAACTGGCGATGGCGGAGAAAGCGGTGGAGGAGGAGAGTAAACAGGTGGCGGTGGGGGTGGTGAAGGTGATGGGGTGTATAAACTGGCGGTGGAGGAGAGGAAAGATGAGGAGGAGGAGGCGATGAGGACACCGACACTGGAGGTGAAGGTGGTGGAGGGGACAAGGCCGGAATAAATGGATGACACTTGAATGCACTGCAGTGAATTTTCTTAGATAAGAATGCCTTACACTGAGTAGTAAGGCGCTGCGTTGGCATAGCTGGCAAACAATTCTGGCGGCTGTCGAATGCTGGCAGGCCCAAACACGTCGGAGGCTCACCATTGGAAAGGTTATTTTTGGTCTGTGTTTATAGTTGCCAGTACTCTTGGCAACCTAAAGTCTGTACCCCATTTGTGCGTTAATTACAGAGTATTGTTTTACGCACACAAAAGGCAAAGCCAGCAAATAAAGAAATTTTGAAGAAGCAATAACAGAAATCCTTGATTGCCAGCTGAGGATTGTAGTTTGCAAGTTGCTCCGTGTTCTTATTTATTTATTTATTTGTATTTATTTTTTACGTTTCCAAGCAAAGGTGACAGATTTTACTGACTGTCATGGAATTAATAGAGCATGCATCATTTTACTACGTCCTTCAATAAAGTACTACTTTTGACGGGTGAATTCTTATTTTATTATGGAAAAAAAAAAGAATTCTACAACGAGGGCGATTGTTGGAGTTGTTTCTACAGATGAGGGTCTTCGCATTTTGGGAATGTGAGCTCACTGAGCTCGCATTCCACGAATGCGAGCTCTAATGTGAGCTCGCATTCCACGAATGCGAGCTGTGTTTGGAAAAAAAAAAAAAAAGGCTTGAGACTTGGGGCTACTGACTATCTTGTGAAGCCATTACACACAAAGGAGCTCTCAGAATTATGGATGCATATGAAGAACAGGTGCATTATTTGTGTTATATGTTATCATACTTAATTGGTATAGAAGCGTTCTTTTCAAGAATATAAGTTTGAAATCTTTCTCTTTTTTTTTGGGTTTTATTTCTTCTTTGCAAGAATCAAGATCCTAAAGGTGTCTAAAATATGCTGCAATATTTGCACTCTGACAGGAGGAGTGAAGTTCTACAGGGATGCTGTTCAAAGATTAAGCAGATCAACATATAATCACAGGATGAAAAACATGCCGAAGTTACTTTTTCACAGCTCTATTACTTGTGAAATAATCGTCATCTTAATTATTGCAACAAATATAAAGATCTATCCACAATAACTTTAACTTATGTAGTAATGATTGTATTGATTACTTCAGCCTCCAGAATACAAAAACTTTCACTGCCATGCGGACTTTGATGTTTTAGTCCTGGTGATGTTTTGGCCTTAGGTTGAATACAACAATCATTTAGGCGTCTCGAGTCAATTTGTAATATAAAGCATTCTGTAAGCAACTTCTGGGCTCAGAAGAGCTCGCATTCCAGAAATGCGAAGACCCTCCGACGGATTCTCTCGCCAAAATCACCCCTTTTGTAGAATTTTTTTAAAATTCATCACAAAGTTAGAAATTTCTCTACTTTTGACTGAGATAATCATCTTAACTCTAACGCTAAATAATTGTCTTGAATATCTGTTATTGCAGCGATGGATGATCAGGCTTTGGGATTTTTTGCGAGCCTTCTCGGTCTGTTCATATTTCTTATGGCTATTGTTTACCATTATGCTATGGCAAAGCCAAAATACAGAAGCAACTAGACCTTCATCATCTTCGTAGAACAAGAAAACAAGAACTTCATTGACTCGAAGAAAAAGAAAGACCTGTACTTTGTGTCTTATGCGTGAAATGTTATTAGGAACTGGCAGGTCAAATTGAATTGTGTCATGATACATGATGCTTAAAGCGTCCTACAAACTGGCATAATCTTGAAACAGCCCGCTAACGATTTTATTTTTATGGGGAACTTGCATCTATCTTCTGTTCCCAAATTGGCCATGTTCCGAGTATGGTTGTATCTTCCTTTGCATCTATTTCTATATCGCGCGTGAACAGCCACGTTTAACTTGTTTGCTGTAGTTCTCTTTGTCAGTAGTTCTTAACCTTCAAATTTTGGCTAACGCGGAGAAGCACGGGAATATCAACAGCTAATTCAGAAGCTTGGGATAGTTACCCTGGGTTTAAATTATTCAGCTGCACTTCCAGTTACCAATTGGTTGGATAGTGTTGGTTTGTGAGTTCCAACTTGGATTGTGTTTTGCATCAGAATTTCTGAGTGTTTTCTAATATAACTGTTGTTGTGTAATTTCGACTTATTGAAAAAACCAATAATATTTGGTGAGGGTGTGCTCGGGAGGGGGGGAGATGGTCATCCGTCCCACATTGAAAAATTGTGGGGTAGTTACCCTGGGTTTAAGGTTCTCAGCCGCACTTCCAGTTACCAATTGGTTGGATGGTATTGTTTGTGGGATCCATTTTAGATTGTGTTTTGCACCAGGATTTCGATTACTTTTGAGTGTTTTCTAATCTACAAAAAACCAAAGTTTGCTCTAAACAAAGTAAATTAAAAAGGATTGGAATCGAATCGAGTTGAGTTTTGAGTTGTTAGTTTGTAAATGAGTACACGTTGAATAATGTTTCAAGACTAATGAGTTCACGTTAAATAATGCTTTAACTTTTTTTAAAAAAAAAAACAATTCCATTTCTTTTTGTAGCTTGGTGCACAATTTTTACTCAGTCAATTATATTTTTGAAAAAAATTAATAAATTAGTAATTACAATTGAATTAGAGAAGGTTGTAAGAATAAACCACCCTTTGCTCATTTCTTTTTTTTTTCTCATAAGAAATATGACGAGTTGACTCAGATACGTTATGGAGAAAGTTGGTTGACTATCACGACAGTTGGTTGATGCTATAATTTTTTTTCGAAGAGGAAAAGCTGCACCATTTATTTCTTGGCCTTGTTTGGACAACCATTTTTTGACAAAAAATGATCTTGTTTTTCGTGAACACATTTTCTTATCACCTTTTTACTTCACCAACATCAAATCGCTATAGTAATTTTTCTACAAAAAATTCATGAAAAATGCAATCCAAACACAAAATTTTCTTGTTTTCAACAAATTTTATCTAAAAAACCACTTCACATTTTTTTTCTTTATGATGCTCTATTTTCTTCTTTGTAAAAACTATAAAAGATATTAAGTGGTAGTAACAATGCCCTATTAATAAATCAAACGCTCATTGCTTTTCATTGGCTTGTTTAGCATTTGGTGTATGTGACATGTTTTATCAATTAGCAATATATTCGAGTCTCAGTGCATGGTGAAAAGGTTATTTCTGGACGGTCAAGTCGAACTTTTCCTAATACGTCATCTTTCCGAGCGAGATGATTTTGTGCTGTACTTTTTCTGATACACACATTAGACGGGGTTTTTCCCCCCAAAATATCTCCGATGATTAAGTTAGTTTTTTGAAAAATGAATAATAGGAATGAAAATAATAGGGAGTTCTCTCCCTTTATTTACGAGAGAATGACATTTATAGAAGATCAACCGGAGGGAAGGATGATAGACTCCAATTCCCTAGGATCTGACAGCCTGTGTGTCCTGTCTATGTTGACAAGATGTAGCAGCGGTCAAATCTTGTCAAACGTCATGTCTTTCTGCCATATAGGTGTTAAGGGTCCCTCAAGGTGTCAATTATTAGGGACAATTCATTAGTCGAGACGCCGAGAGCTCAGCATTTCACTGGGAGCCAAGTTGATACAACCTGGGACCGAGGTGACCGGAAATACAGGAAGCCCCGGTCCTTTCTTTATAGCGGCAAGGTCGAGGTGACCGTCTTCACATGGTATTATTATATTCTTTTTCCTACCAGTTTGAAGAAATAAAACAGTTTGAAGAACATATTAATTGTTTTGTAATATTGAAGTGATCCTTTCAACTGGCCATGGTAGTGGGTCTAAGGGTTGTGGCTCGTTCGATCCATGTATTATTTCCATTCGACAGTTTAACTCGCTTGATTAATGATTACCACTGCTTTCTTCCTTCACTTCTTTCATTTGCGACGGAAAAGAAGTAATACTAGTATATTAGTCTTCATGAGTGTGTTTGGATAGAAGATTATTTAGAATAATTTTTAAAAAATATTAAAAAATTTTTTTGTTGATATGATGTATGTATGTGACATTAAAAAAAAATAGATAGAAAGATTAGAAAAAAGTGATTAAGAAAACACATTTATAATGTAATCGAATAAATTTTTTCCATATAAGATACTATCCAAACAAACTTATTAACTATCGGCAGTTAGATATTTTGTGTTTAGGAAATATTCAAATATACTATTGTTCGTTAATTATAAAAATATGATTAGTTTTTTCTATGATTAATTAATTTTTTTACATTATAAAAAAATGTAATTAAATTTTTTCTATGTTAACAATTTATAACCTAACGATTAGATGCACGTGACGTGTAAAATTTAATTTTTTTATTTTGGTAAAGTTTAAAATTCACATTCAACTTGTATGAAGTTATCTTTTTTAAATACCCATAAGTGTATACACCATTCATTTTTATCTTGGATGCGTCGCCCGCTGCCACCTTAGCTGGAGTGCTTCGTCCGCAAACACTTTACCGGGTTGATTAACCAATAACCATGCCAGTTTATGACGATTAATAGTAGTACTTCAATATTTTATATAGGAATAATTATTTAAAACGTCGTTCAAATTTTTTTAAATAATTTTTTTATCTTTCATTTTAAAATATTAACTCTACGACACTTTTAAGTTTAAATCAGTAAAATTTAGTCTTAATTTAAAATTTTGACCAATTTTTACTCTGAATTCATCAAGGAACTCACACTTGATCATTTTTTATTAGGAAGAAAAATTAGATATCATTTGTAATTAAATAAGTTATCCGATCCATATTTAAATTTGCCTATAAAAAATGACATTTGATTCAAACTATAATCATTTTTCTCCAAAAATGTATTATCTAATCTGATTCATATTCGTTTCCACCTCTAAACAAGTGAGAACAAGTCGTTTTGTACATGGAAAGATGATCACATGTGATTATGTCGTAATTTCAGATTAAAAAAATGTTTAAAAACTTAGGTTGAAACAAAATTTTATTGATTTGAATTTGGAATGGACGTAAAATTAATATTTTAAAAGTGAAGAATAAAAAAAATTATCTAATAAAATGTAAGGATCATTTTAAACAATTTTTCCTTTTTATCTATAAGTACCTCTTTGGCATTATATACAACTAGTACTTCTTTGGCATCTTCTGTTAAATACTAATTTTGATTTTTTTGTTGCAATTAATCTTCAACTCCAAAAAAAAAAGGAACAACAACTGAATGAATGAATTGCAGACTAGTCAAATTAGCTGGGGAAAGATTAAAATAGTGGGCGTTATTGGGTAGAAAGAGGATTGAGTAGAATAATATATTGGTTAAACCGACATTTAACCAAGCAAATCAGTTACGTTTCGCTATCAAATTTCACTCCACATAATTGGTTTTTTTTTTTTTTTACATATAATTTGGCCGGTTGCCCTTCGTTTCTTAAAGTTCCAAGTGTACGTCCAATAATATTCATGTATTCCTGTTCCTTTTAATTTTCCCTGCTGAGACTTGAACTGCTTCACACAAACAAAAGAGGTGTTTATATGTGCCTGAAATTTATTGTCTAAAAATATATATTATTGGTTTTACCCACTTTTTTTATTATATTTTTTTACCCATTGGCGCCTAAACGTTTCTTTGTCTCGTCGGCGGGAGCCACAACGAATTGAGTAGACCCAGCATCCATCAGCATGGAAGGCACCCATCATCTCCCGCCTTTGTTTGCTTCTGAAGTCCCTAGAAACATTTGATCTTTCAGGCTTGACAAATCCACTATATAATGCATGCAGCCTTGATGCTCAAGAAAGAAAGAACACTGAGACTGAGAGAGCAAAAAACTGTTGAGAGTTGAAAGTTGGATGGATGTTCTTGGCTTCGGCTGCATGGCAGACGTTATTGGCATCTATGGCTCTACTTCCTGCCAATCCCGAATTAGGCCTGAGCCTTTTGGAAGGGTGCGTCATTACTTAATATTGAAATGCTGAATTCTTCTGGACTCGTTGTTCTTACTCGTATTGAATGAATGAAGTAGATACTCAGATTCAATTGCTCATTATACATATTGATTTTATGCTTCTAAGTTAAAACAAAAGCAAAATTAATCATTAGATTTAGGGATAATTTCAGAAACCTCCCCTGAGGTTTTCGACAATTTCACTCGGCTTCCTTGAGGTTTACATACTTACAGAGACTTCTCTTGTTGTGATAAAAAGACAATAATACCCTTTATTAATTGTCAACTCATTAAAAAACTCTATCAAATATTAAAAATCTCTCATCGATTATTAACCAATAATTCAAACTACAGTTTTTTCTATTTAACTATCTATATTTCTTTCTCATATATTTATTTTTCTGTCAAACCCATTTATCTATTATTATCAATCAAATGTGTACTGTCGCTACTAATAAAATCAGCATACACACTAAATCACCAATACTTATATATCTTAGTATCTATTCCCAATCATCGATTTTCCATTATTAGTAAATAGTTTCCTTACGCCCATTTTTGTTTTCAATTTTTGATAGGTATTAGCAAATTGAAATTGTCAAATGACAAATTGATTGCTAATTTCATTATCAAATTAGATGGAGATGAAGATAGTGAAAGTGATAAAAAATAAAAATTAAGGATAAGACGTGGAATAGGAATAAGTTATACTATTATGGTTATCATGAAAAAAAGTGTTCTCGATATATATTTATAACTGCATTGCGTTTCTATTTTTGATTTACAATTATTGATATTATTCCTATAGAGGGAATATGATTGATTTTGAACTCTGTGTCAATGGAATATATTGAATATTAATATTAGTAGTGATGGTTTAGATTATTTTGTATTAAAAAGGTGGCAGTCATGAAATTGAAATTTAGGAATATTGTTGAATATTATAGTATATTAAGTAAAATCTGATATTGTTATGACATTGTAGGTAAGTTTTTGGGTATATGATGTAGCATTTATAGTTGATACAATGGTCAACATTGAAAATTTTAGGTAAAAGAGGAACATTAGAACAAAGATAAGTGTTTATTTAATGGTAATTTAGATGTTGATGGGCAGGTAATGGTGGAGGAAATAAAAATAAATAAAATAGAGACTGTAACCCATTTTTTTCTTTACATTTTTGTTGTGAATTATAACTCAAGGGTATTATAGAAATTTTGGAAAAAAGTATAGACTTTTGGATCTAGAATGTTACTTAAATAGTGAAAATAGAGGAGATAAATATAATTTTTAAAATTTGAGGGGAGTTTTCTGCAATTGTTAAAAACCTCAGGGGAGGTATCTATTATGTCAATGACACCAAAGAGATATTAAAAGAATGGAATTGGGGCATGGATGGAATATAATGAAATAAAGTCACTTTGAATTTCCCGCTGAAATAAGGCATGGAAAGGAGCCACTACGAAGAAGAAGTTCTGGGTGTTACGAACGAAGCTTCTAGCTCATGGTGAGTGTTCATCAAGCAACTGAGTGAGACAAACAAACATGATCTGAACAAAAAAGCCGGAAAAAAAGCTGGAGGCAAGTATGTGTCAATTATTTTGCTCTTCCTTCTGTGTACGCCGTTACTTAATAATGAAACGCTCAATTCTTCATAGAAAGTCGTTTTTCCTACTCCATATTGAGTCAATTAAATAAATACTCAAATTAAATTAAATTGTTCACAACCAGAAAGTGTATGCATTGCGCTTTTCTGATGATGGAAGTCGCTTGTTCGCGGCGGTTGGTGACAGTGTATATGAACTCAGTACCGCTGATTTCCCAGACTACTTGTCGGGATGACTTCACCTACTTAATATCAAAATAACAATAAAAAAAAATGTTGCCGGCGTTGTTATTGCCTGATGTTGCAGAACAAAGGAATTTTGTTTGGGGTGTTTCGTTGTTGTCGTCTATGTTTGATGACTTGATTACCATATATTTGATCAATGGGAAGGATATTGCGAACGTTTGTTTCTTGTTGTGGATGACTTCGATGAATCAATATCTTAATATTGTTCCTGTTCGTTTATATTTGCATTGTAAGGGTTCCAGTGAATTGCATATTCTGGTTTTTTTTTTTCTGATTCTTTTGTCTTATGATATGGAATCCATTTTCATGCCTAAATCTGAGAGAGAATGTTTACGAGCAATCTCCACGAGTCATTACTCATATTTTGGTTGTTCAAGCTGAAACTAAAGGAAATAATTGTTAATCCAGATTGCCCAATTCTGATCCAATGATTGACACAATGTCAATCCATCAGAACACGGCTGATAATTTGTGAAACAAACATCAGTATACATTTCACCCACGGCTGTGGCAAGTTTGACTCTTTTACAGATTTAAGAAAGTGGAGGGAATGGAACACGTGATTTGCACGCACGCCCTCCCACCTCCTCTCTTCTTGACCGTGTATTGGATTTGGGGGTTTACGAATCCACCGGTTTCGTTTCTACTGCCCATGGTGAATAGTAGGCGTTGGTTCTGGGTTGGCCTGAAACAAGAATTACTTGGAATTGTTCTCCCCAAAAGTTACAATGGTCCAAATCCCTGGGGAGCAAATTATCTGGTTGGTCACTAAATTATTGCGATCGTTGAGTTTTGGTCACTCAACTATTAAAAGTTCAATTTTGACCACTAAAATATATAAAATTAAGACACGGGGTCATTCTGTTAGATTTAGCCGTTAAGTTCTTTGATCGCTCCGTCCGCGCGATTTCCAAGACAAAAGAAAGGGTCAATATGGGAAGTTGAAAATAGCATTTGCACCTCTTGAAAAACAGAAAGTTTAGAAGGGTACTCTGAGCTTCCTCTCGAACAAACTGAAGCTCTCATCCTTACAATGGATCCAACAGCTGGCCTTCACTTGACATTGAAATTGAAGAACTTGTTCACCCAAAGGACGAGCTACTCTCTAATACCAACGATTCCAGCACAGCCCTACTGATTTTCTTAGCCTCAGCACCATTATTACTCATGCTTTCAGCTGGATTCTCCAAGGCTGCATTAGAATCCGATCTACCCAAAATATCCAAACCCATTAGTCCCTGACCCAAACCAGCAGCATCAGCAAACTGACCCCTCTAAACAATCCTCGTGTTATTCAGAGCATCAGAAAACCACAAGCCAGCTTTCAGATCAAGAAGCGCTGAACTCGGAGACTCTGGCTTTATGGGGAAGAGAAATAATCTGATGCGGGATGGTGTAGGAGATGCAACGGCGGAGATGTGGTCGTGCTCTTCCAGCATATTTTGGAGGTCGTCATCAGTGGTGACGGAGATGAGTGAATCGAAGTCCTCGTTTGGGAGCTGGGACTTCAGATGAAATGGGCGGTTGCCGAAAAGGGTCCGGGATAGGTGGGTGGTGAGGCGGATATAGATGAGCAGTCCATGAACAAATTCATGGATCTTGCTCATGAACAAACTCGCTGATCTTGCTCCTTTTTTTGTTCCTTAACAATTAAATTTGGGCTAGCATAGATGGTTGATTGAAAGATTGGATTGTGGGATATCTCACTATTATCGATCATCCCTCTTCTTTTTTTTTTTTTTTTTTTTGTTTTTGGGGTGCCGGTGGTTCATCTGCACTCCCTGTGTAGGTTATGGTTGAAAACTAGGTGGTGATTATGATTCAGCAGCCGACCCTGTGACACATCGCTATTGCCCAATTCTATTGAAATTAATTCAATCAGAAGACCAATCCATTGGCTTTCACTACTTTGTTGTTGTCATTGTAGCAACTACTACTAAATTATCCCTAACAAAGTGGTGCGGTACGGTGTCTGGACTAAATTTTTCCTAAATTAATCCTGTCTTTTGTCTTGGAAATTGTGTGAACAGATAGATTGACGAATTTAACGGCTAAATCTAACAGAATGGCTTCGCTTTTTAACTTTATACATTTGAGTGACTAAAACTAGACTTTTAATAGTTGAGTGACCAAAACTCGACGATTGCAAAAGTTTAGTGGCCAACCAGATAATTTGCTCAATCCCTGGGTACCCAAAGGCCGAGACTAGGTCCAACTCAGTTGAAAGAGACCTTACTTCTACAGCTCTATTAATAAAGCTCGCCGTCTTATGTAGGTGCTAGTGAGAGGATTAGTCAGTTGGTCCCGGTCCAAAACAAAACCTCCTACTTACCCAAAAAAAAATGTAAATTAATAACAATAAAATAATATGAAAGTGCAAATTAAAAGATAAAAAAATGTACCAGGAAAAGGAAAATAGGTTATTATTGGTTGTGAATTTTTTTTTTTTTTAAAAGAGGATGCTTGACGCGCATCTCCATCTATCCATCTATATCGATGCATCATTATCTGGTCCACAACTTACGAAGCATACGCAGGCACTAGGCATGCAAGAAGACGTTCAAGGTAAACAAGAAAGACGTTTCAGAGTCCTCTACAGTCAATCATGTTTGGTTGCCGCCTGAGGATTCCGTCCGAATTTATGCTGAATTAACAGAATAATAAAGTATTATTGAGTATTGACAATACTTCGCAGGGTTTAGGCCGTCTGGCTTCCTTGCTCTGATGGGTTGGTCATAAAAAAACTCTTCTTAAGATTTGATTAAAGTTACGGTTTACCCTTAACATTTATTTTATCCCCTATTTCAGTTCAACTTATCAAATTGATCGTTAAAATATTCGAGTTGCTGAAAATGTGCTTCTACATGGTTTGTAAGCTTCTTTGAATGTGCAAATTACAAGATTTGATTTTTACCATTGAATAATATCTTTGAATTATTTGGATAAAATAAATTGAAATACTAATATTCTTTTTTTTTTTTTCCTAAAATCGTTGTGCATGTAATTATTTGAAGTAAGTAGATCTTAAACTTTGCAAAAATGAAAGGGAAATACGTGTTTTTTTTTAAGTGTAAGAGTTTGAACTCATGATTTTATACTTACGATCCCTTCATTTTTACTATCCAACCCAACCCGCCCCTAAAATATGTGTTGTATTGTTGCCGGGAATGGTAGGAAAAAAGTGAATTTCACAACTCAATACATATTTTCCAGTAATGTGATTCCATACAAGACATATTTCTCTTATTTTATTTTTTTTTTTGTTTGCAAATTTGAGGACCAACCCACTTAAAATAATTATATGCATGACACTTATGGGGGAAAAAAAAAATACTAGTTCTCTAATTTATTTTATCCAAGAGTTCAAAATTCTCTGATAAAATTCAAATCTTTTAATTTGAACATTCAATTGTAAATTTCACCGGAGCTTATAGGTATTATTTGTGAATGACCCTCAGAGTTCCAATTTCGTTGTCTGACAAAAAGGTAGTGAAGCTTGATTCGGGACTTCCCTTAAATGATTGCATTAAGCCTGTCGTGTTTTTGATCAATTGATCAGCTAACATGAGAAAAAGGAAGGCTTGATTGACGGTAACCAGACCATAATGATGGGTTCGGCCTTGCGGTTGCAGTCCCACCGGTTGTTCAATTCAGTTACTATCTCCTCGTTAGTATTTCGTACAAGTGAATTGATCACGATCAAGTATTCGAGTCTTTGATGTAGGATGGTGGGAACATAGATTCTTTGTGGATTTTTCTTAGATTGCTTTCGGATCGATTTAGCAGTTAACTCCTGTATTTGTTCTAATTATGTGTGCGTGTTTCTTTCCGTTTCTGGGAAAACAAAAAAATATTCGAACTCGTGATAACTAAAATCATTTAAAAAGAAACTAATAATAAGGTCTTGTTTGGATTGTTGTTTTCCGTTGAAAAATTGCATCATTTTCGTAAACATATTTTTTTATTATTTTTTTTTTCATATACATCAAATTGTTATGATAATTTTTTCATGAAAAATGATAAAAAATACAATCCAAACGAGATATCCCGTCATAGGTCTATTTACCAGTAGTATTGTCCCCACTCTACGTGGCACACTTTTTTGTAAGAAATTACAATATGTGCTGCAGCATCTTTTTTCTTTACGGTATTCTGCCCACTCAGCAATAGATAATTGTGCTTGAACAAAGATTGCAAAGGCGGAAATTCAAGAGAGATGTACTGCATAAATCGTGAATTGGCATGCACATTCCATATGCAGAAGATAATTAGTAGTATTAGGCATGATCACACTTCTAATCTTTCAACAAATCATCGAAAAATTTTCTCTCGCTGGTATAAAAAAAAACAACCAATTAATTGAGTAGGTTTGGAGCAAGTAGCAATAAAGAACGTACAACTCTCACATGGTACAACCACCAAAGCGAACAGTACTAGCCTCAAGCACGCAACAGATGAATAATGTGATCCAACGTCAAACCTGTAATCAGGGACACAGACAATACTAGGATATTCAAACCACAGCCTCTCAGACTCGATCAGGCAAAACAGAGTACGAAAAAAGTTCAACATTGACGATGAAACTGACGAGTCGAGGAACCCAACAGCTGCGAAGACAAGCCCAAAAACAAAAACCCAGAAAATCCTGGAGACGATGCATGCAAGACGCGAACTTACCGTGTACTCCAATCTTTCGTGACAATTGAGCAACAAGAACTCAGCAATTTTGCTAGAACAATGAAAATTTGCCACTTTTACTTTCCAGTGCACTCTCAATTTCAAACATCTACTCGAGCAGAAGTGGAACTAAAACCAAAGAATCATGAATCCTCACCCCGCAAAAAAGATATCGGAGCTCCAAGAATGCATCATACTGAATCCGCACAAACTAGCACCAATTGTAAATTACATCATAAACTTATTTATTTGGTCATTTGCTGGTACAAAAGTGAAAGCTTTTCCGGATAAAGTTTTTCGAGAATTACAAGAATAAGCATCAACAACATCAGCAGAACCATGATGACAGTCCTTTTCAACTGGTTCCTGTCCTCAGTGGTATCGGTGGGAGCGGGAAGATGCATATCTAGAGAATTATTGGCCACAAGTTCTGCTTCTGGCGGCATCAAAGCACTGTCTTCATCTCTATCCTGCACTCTGCGCGGGTCTGAACATCTTGAGCATGAGCAATTACCACCAAGAAAAGAGGGAATTGGCCGAAGGCATTGGCAGAGAATCTCCTGATAGTTCCCTCCTACAGTTCTTACTTTGCGCTGTGTGGCTGGTTTCAAAACCTGCACAGAGCATATTCCACATCAGGAACACTTTATTTACATTAGCAAAAAGAAATATAACCCAGTGCAATGCAGCATAGACAACATGACGCATAGATAAACAAAGCATAAGACATGAGCAAATGGCCTAACTGGCTTTCTGCTTATCTATGCATTACAAGTCATCGTTTTTAAAAGGCAATTGACCACTCAAACTCAGGAGGACAGTCATTGAAAACGGAATAGAAATATAGACCATGTAATGTAAGGCATAACATATTGGCCTAAATTACTCTTTATTTATGAGAAATGAACAAAAAGAAACTACAGACAAGCTACATTCAATGGAGATATAAACCTCTTACAGATGGTCATGATGTTAGAAACAACAGCGACAACTTCTTCAAGTACCCAAAGAAGTATGTTTGACGTTGAAGGTAATCTCCTTTGGTTACTTCCATACACTAAATGACCATATGCAAGAAAGTTAAAAAGTACAATCCAATAGGTTCAAAACTGAAAGAGGTTCTTCTTAATGTAAAAATTCCAAATCTTCAAATCTGATCAACTCTGAGAGTTGGTAATGTCAACTAAGTGTTTTTCAGGATAGTTCATATGAATCAGGTCCTTCTAAGAGCTCAACATTCAAAATAATTATACAATGGCCACCAAACATGAGAGAAGAGATTTCATTTCTTAACCACTTACTTGGAATAGTGCCTGTGTGATTACTCGAGCAAGTTGGGGAAGCCTTATTATTATCAAACTGCCGAGCCGGTTAGGGTAATGATCTTGCAGAAGTGTAGCACATGATCTCATCATGTGTATAGGAAATCCAAATGGAGAAAGCCCCTCACAGTCCATCAAAACCATAATCTGAGGTTGATCCACAGTAACCAAGTTCAAAACACCATGCTCTATCTGGGAAACTGAACGTTTGGTAGAACATCTAATTGTTGTTA